AAGGAGGAATTTACTGTATCATATGCAGGAATTGCTAGAATGAATACATTGGAGAAACCTCAAGTACTTTAAACAAGAGACTATATGAACACAAAAGGGACATTTTAAATAACAACACATAAAATGCATTGGTTGGTCACGTAACAAAACGAACAACAATTTTGACATAGAGAATGCTACTTTGATTAAAAGAGAAAATAAGCTACTGAAACGAAAATGCCTTGATCAGTAGTTCAGTCGCGATAAATATGTATCCAGGCTCTTATCCCCATTCTTGGTAGATTTTATTAAATCTACCAAGAGTAGTGCCACAGTGTGGGATAGCCAGGGACAAAGGTGATGGAGAGAAAAATGAAAAAGAATACAGATGAATTCGGATAGATTGAGAAAAAAAAATTCTCTAAAAATTTTGAATCTACCAGCGTTTCTCGTTTTGTGTTCATGGTTACAGGTGTGTGCAGCAGTTATCAATGCTGAGGTTACTTTTTGAAAAAGGCATGAATCCACCTCTACCTGCTCTCTGTTCCATCTTGCCAAACTGTGTTGGTTGAGACTTATGCCCAAAAGTTTGTCACAATTTTTCAACAGTCTTGTTAATTAAATAGCTATTATTTCTTCTCTCTGTAGTTATAGGTAAAATAGCAGGGTAGCTAGTGCTCTCTAGCCTTGAGTTGCCTGATTATTCTGTATCCAAAGCTTTTGAAGAAGCAGTGGGAAACCATTGGTGTGTTGAGTTCAAACTCTGAGTTAAAATTCACTTTGGCACATATACACTTGGAAAAGGTACAAAACACTTCTCCCCAGACAATGGGTTAAATAGCAGGGCAGACTAAGCTCTCTAGCTTTGACTGGCAACCAGTTTGGGAGAAGGACAATTCTGAATTCATAGCCAATTGGGCATGGGGCTGGCAATTGTACCCAATTCTACCCGAATTCATCTGTATTCTACCCATGCGCACAAAACGTCTGACGGATGAAACGCGTCACAAAAAAACCCTTTCCTGTTTATCATATTTTTCTAAATACTATTTGTTGATATATAAAATTATAAATATATATATATATATATATATATATATATATATATATATATATATATATATATATATGACGTCACACATTATAAATGGACAAAGTCTGACAATTATTTTAAGACATTTTTTATGTTTATACGTTCTTTTTATAGATACAAATATTTAAGTAAATGCTCTGTTTGTAAATTAATACTGTTTATTATAAACAGAACATTTACTTATGTTAATATTGTTTGATATCGTTAAACATTTTTTATTAATCAGTAAAGTGTAGATGAAAATTTAAACTTTCAGTACAGAATACCTGCTGTTTTGAAGCGCTCGCCATGACACTTCATTGAAATGGAAAAAAAACTTTCCAATAATTAAAATATGTACCCGCTTCTTAAATAATGACTAGCATTCATTATTTATGATTGTTATTTTGTTAAAGTTGTTAACCTGAAATATTTATGATGTAATATGGGAAGTTACAAGCGTTTTTTTTTTAATAGTCGCCATGAGCTTATTCAATCATTGATTTAAGAATTATAATTCATCAGGAAATGAAAATAACAAAATTGTGAAATCTTCACGATTATTTCTAGTTAATATTATTCTTGAAATTTGCACTATGATGGCTTCAAACTACGGAAACCATTTTAAGTGATTCCTTGTCAAGTCTTCAGACCCTGGAGAGCAAGTACTTTCCGCAGGATATTTGCTCTGCTTAAGATGGTTACTTTTTACAACGCTGTTATGCTGAGTGGGATTCCGATGGCGTCGAGCTGTTTCTGGAGATACAATGGAATTAACATGTTCTTTCTTCTTCTTCTTCTTCTTCTTCTTCTTCTTCTTCTTATTATTATTATTATTATTATTATTATTATTATTATTATTATATGTGCCGTGTCCATTCAGAGTATTGGCCATAATATCTTTCCAAATTGTCTTTATTTTTTAGCTCTTAATAACTTTTTACCATATCTCCCAAGCCCTGCTTCGCCATTCATTCATTCAAGCTCTCCAGGTAGGTTATGCATTGCTTTCCTCTGACCCTCTTACGTTCAATCTGTCATGTAAATATCAAATTCACCAAGCCCTCTTTCCTCATGTACACCAGAAATTTCAACTATCTCTTCCAGGTGTTAAGCATAAGTGTCCTTTTTGTTGACATTGTCTCTAGAAATGTGTCTTGGTATTCTCAGCATCTTTCTGTAGAACCACATTTCTTTTTAGCTATTCAGTTATCCGAAATTTTGAATCATCCAAACGTAGGCGTCCGGATAATCGGGTTGATATTGTACTATGTGTCGATTTTAACTCACATCACTCAGGTTTTTATCACATGGTATAATTCGTTAAAATGAGCCGCTTCCTTTCTGATTGCATTTTGTCAGTGGTCATTAATATTATTATTATTTTTTGATCTGCATTCGTTTTATAATCAAGTGCCGGCTCATAAGCACTGTCTTAGGTCAAGTGAAGAATGTGATTTTTTGTTGTTTCCACTTAAAAAAAAACAAAAAAAAAAAAACAGCTATTAACACAAGAAACAAACAAAAAAATTAAATAGATAAAGCTCTTCGCATAATATGGGCTGAATTCAGCAGTAATATTTTTTTGATTTCCTGGTGACGAAAAATGTGACACTGAAATCCGAAGACGCATTGGGATAATCAAAGATGCCTTCCAAAACCTAAGCAGAGTATTAAGACATATAAAAACTAAGGAAAAGAGTACTGAAATGTTACGTGATATCTGTATATCACGTGATATAAGGAGATTCACTAAGTATTCACTGCCATATTCCTATATGGCAGTGAATACTAGACTATCTCCTCAAAGATGAAGAAGCTTGAAGCAACAGAAATGTGGTTCTACAGAAAGATGCTGAGGATACCATGAACCGGGCAAGTGAACAACGACGAAGTTTTAGAGAACATGGAAACAGAAGGGAAACTTATCCATGAATCGGAATTTCTGGGGCGCATAATGAGGAAGGAAGGTTGGGAAAAACTGATACTCACAGGGCGGATTGAGGGCAAGAGGGACAGAGAAAAACAACGCATAACATACTTGATGAACTCGAGAAAATGAATGACGGAACAGGGTTTAGAAATAACGAAAAGATAGAATTTATTAAGAACTGCAAGTGACAGGAAATTGTGGAGAGCCATGATCACCTACGTAAAAGAGAGAAGAGTGAGGTGAGATAATGTGCCGTGTATTTTGTTGTTTTGTTCTTTATCAGACCCAAATCCCTAACCACAACAGGAACGGTTTTAATTTTTAAATTCCATATATTTTCTATTTCCATCTTCAAGTCTTTATATTGGCTTCGTAGTGGTGCTTTTTTTGTCACTTGTTGAGTTCATTTTTATTTTCTATCTTAATGGTGACAAAGAAAAGAACAGGAGGATTTCTCTGGTGAAAAAGAAAAGAGTATTGAGTTACTACTTGACATCTGTCCTCCTATACAGCAGTGAATCTTGGACGGTATCCCCAAGGATGAAGAAGAGACTCAAAGCGACGGAGATGTAGTTCTACAGAAGGATGCTAAGGATATCATGAACCGAGCATGTGAGCAACGATGAGGTCTTGGAGAGGATGCAAACAAGGAGGAAGCTTATGCTTAACATAAGGAATAGGTAGAAGAAATTTCTGGGACACGTGATGAGAAAGGAAGGCCTGGAGAAACTGATACTCACAGGACGAATAGAGGAAAAAGAGACAGGGGAAAGCAGCACATGGCATACGTGGCGGGATTGGGCAGGTGGATGGCGGAGTGTGATCTGGGGGTGTTAGCAGAAACAAAACCTGTTGAGATCCACAAGGGATAGGGAGAAGTGGAGGGCCATGATCGCCTACGTCCTGAAAGGACACGGTACATAAAAAGAAAGATAATACGGACTGTTTCCTTGGGGGAGCCATTATTATTGTTATCATTATTATTGAAATTTGCTAGGTGACACACCGGAAATAATTTTGAAGTGATTCTATGTCAAGTCCCAAGTGCACAGAGAGTAATCATTTTTATTTTACTATCCCCCCCCACCATATATATATATATATATATATATATATATATATATATATATATATAAATGGACAAAGTCCGACAATTTAATTTACCGACATTCAGGCCGGTAAATGTTATTTAATACTGTTTATTATAAACAGAGCATTTACTTAAATACTTGTATCTATAAAAAAAAAAGAAAAAAAGAACGTTAAACATAAAAATGTCTTTAATAAATAAATTGTCGGACTTTGTCCATTTCTTAATATATGACGTCATTTGTTTACATTTGATACGCCAGAGCAGTTATGAATGTACGAGATTCATGGAAGATTGAAGTTTATAAGCAGTAAAATTCGACCTTGTCTACCGAACGCTCCTTTGTGGCCGGTCGGTACGGCACGTCAGCGTAAATGACGGTTCCGTATAGGATGCAGGTTCGAATCCTGTCAAAGGACGAATATTTTCTATGAAAATTTCTCGGACATTCAGGCCGGTAAATGTTATTTAATACTGTTTATTATAAACAGAGCATTTACTTAAATACTTGTATCTATAAAAAAAAAAGAACGTTAAACATAAAAATGTCTTTAATAAATATATATATGTGAAGAGGATTCATAACTTTCCCAAGGGTATTAGCACGTAAGTGAATGTAATGGATTCGACTGGATTCGAACTCGGCTCTCCGATTCCTTAATCCAAGCCACTAACCATTACTCCACCGTGCTAAATAGCAGGGCAGACTGGGTTCTATAGCCTTGGATGGACATCTCTTAATTCAAAACCTGCGTAGGGTCGTTTTGGAACCCTGTGGCACGTAGTGCACCAGGTCTCTATATTCGGCCCTTCAAAAAGTGTGGATGGTTCTGCACAAAACCTTCACCACTATAATCAAATCTCATGTGTTGGTACCGGGCTGTTGGTTCCTAGGAATTGAGCCCTATGACCTTCATACATCGAATATGACGGGAGAGTCGAGTATATCTATCTATCTATCTATCTATCTATTGTTTAATATATATATTGTTTATACGTTATTTTATAGATAGAAATATTTAAATAAATACCCTGTTCATAATAAACAGTATTAACATTTAGCGACCTGAATGTCCGAGAAATCTCAAAGAAAATATGTAGCCGACTAAAGGAATCGAAAGTTCATCCTATACGGATCTCTCATATAGACTGGTGTTTAGCTACAGAGGAAGCATCTGGTTAACCAAGTTAAATTACTGTTTTTGAACTACAAGATTCCCATGATTTCTCTCGAACGCTCATATGTGCTCGAAGCGTATCTTAACGTAAACAAATGACATCACATATTATAAAATGGACTATGTTCGACGATTACTTTAATATATTCATTGTTTATACGTTATTTTTATAGATACAAATATTTAAGTAAATGCTGTGTATATAATAAACAGTAGTAACAACATGTCCGAGAAATGTCAAAGAAAATATGTGTCCTTCAACACTTTCGGGCCGGTAAAGGTTGTTAATACTGTTTATTATAAACAGAGCATTTACTTAAATATTTGTATCTATAAAAATAACGTATAAACAATAAATATATTGAAATAATTGTCGGATTTAATCCATTTTATTACACACACACACACACACACATATATATATTATAATATTTTTTTTTTAAATATGATTCTATCATGACACAGAATATATATATATATATACATATATACAGGATATATATATATATATATATATATATATAGGATATATATATATATATATATATATATATATATATATATATACGAAATCCACTAGTTTTGGGCTAGTTGCTTGTCACAATTACGTTTGTCGAGTGTTTGTAGATTGCTTTCTATAGAAATTGTATTCACTAAATTCCTATTTAAACTTATAAAATGCGAATATATTCTCCATAACACACACACACACACACACACACACACACACACACACACACACACATACATATATATATATATATATATATATATATATATATATATATATATATATATATATATATATATTATGGAGAAAACTACTGGATTTTATCAGCAATATAACACACAAAAAATATGTCCACTAAAAATGTTAAACTTTATTATTTTATTTCTCATCGTATCCGTAACTTTTGATTTTTAAGAATTCTTTTCATCATGCTCGTATTTGTTTAAAGGCTTAATAATAATTATAATAATAATAAAGATAGAGTTGGCCGATATCTGCACTGGAAAATCTGCAAGTTTTACTGGAAGGAAACTGCAAAAAACTGGTATGAACATCACCCCAAACTCGGTTACAGACATAATAATTTTATGAGACTTTACAATAGACACAGACAGAACAAATTAAATCTATTCGCCCAGACAAGAACAAGGCTGATGATGGAAGTTGTTTCTTAGAAGATTTTCAATAAATTATCAAAATACAAGGATCTCGAAGTGGAAATCTAAAAGATATGGCACATGAGGACATCAATAATTCCAGTTGTAGTTGGAGTCCGCCGACTGATTGGAAAAGGCTGCGATAGATTCATTGACGGAATTTCTGGTAATCCATGCCTTAAAGAAATACAAAAACATGTACTCATAAGTACATCATGATGATCTTGATCTATGTAAAATGTGTGTGATCTTTGTTTTTTTTTACAAAAATGATTAGTACGAAATGTAGCTGCCAGACAATTTCTGCGACCACATCACCCCTTTACAGCTTCAACCCCCCTTGGTTATTATGTGTGGGGGTGCAGATGAGCGAGAGACCAACAAAACGCCTTGTAACATCAAAAACGAACGGAAGGCAAGGATTATGGCAGCATTCAACAACTTAAACAAGAAAACCGCCCAGAAGAGTTGCAGGAGATTCCGAAGTCGCCTGGAGGCCGTTGTTGAAGCCAATGGCGATTTTATTGAATAAATTTACGCTTTCGTATGTCAAGATATTTTTGTTAAGTTTTCGTAAATATATCAATGTTTTCATTTTCGTGTAATTTAGACAGTAATTTATATTTTTAATTTCGGGAATGAGTTAAAGAGAGTGACTGAGAGAGTGAGAAAAAGGGGAGAGAGAGAGAGAGTAAGTGAGTGAACGAATGAGTGAAAGGGTGTGACTGAGAGTGTTAGAGGGAGTGAGAAAATGAGAGAGAGGGTGAGAGAGATTAAACGCTCACTGTCCGACCCAGTTCCCAAAATCTGATAATTTTGTTGGAAGACCTTCTTGGTTTAGCTGAGAACTTATCAATCCTTGTAAATGGCAGTACTCGGGAAATGTTCCCTCGTTTTCTTCTTCGAACACAAAGAGATATAGAAAAGTAAGCGTAAAATAATCCTTTGCTATGAAGTTATTGCGCATTCCATAATTTTCCATCCTAACGAAAATTCCACCTTGCAATAACAGATAATCGTAAGCATTCGTCTATCTCACGAGATAATGGCAGCTCCCTGTTTGGTCGAAATTCAGTCCTTTTGTGAGCATCGTCTGGAGTTGGCTTATCTGTTCGATTTTTTTTTATGGCTGACTTTTCTCCAGGTGTGGCAGACGAAGCTGGAATATGGAACGAAGGTCTTCCTGTGTTGTCTTTTGAGTTATTTGCTTTGCTTTTTTTCTCGCCCGTTGTAACTCATTCTTAAACGGCATGACCTCAGGTAGCCTTAAAAAGTCTACTAGCCCTTCTAAGCTACCTGGGTCAATCTCTGTGAGTTTCAGGTCTCGCTTGCAGACGTCCTTGAATCGTAGTGTAGGTTTAACAGATAATAAATCATGGAAATCATGCAAAAGAAGATGGACTTGTAACATGTACTTTCAATAAGCTCGAACCATCTTTCAAATTTAGAAATCTCTGCAAGAAAACTAAATTGCGATTTTTCAATGCCTACGTGACAAGCTTATTTTTGTAAAATATTGAATTGGGGATAACAAACCCAGGCTTTGAGAGACGAATTAACTGTATTCAGCGTAAATTTTCTCTCGTGTATGATGCAACCCTCTTAAAATTAGCTTCAAAATTAGGTCTTTAATAGTTGTTTGGTACTCGAATATATACGGTAAGTCGGATGAGACCGAAAAGTGGCCTATCTTATTGGATAGGAAGAAATCCCAGCATGCATTTGTGTATTTTGAATATAAATATGGGGAGGGGGATATTGTATGTTTAAATTCTTAAAGTAAAGCACAAACATAGATCGATTGGTTTGTTTGTTTTTTACGGTTTATCAACCTTCTGCATGTAATTTAAAACGAGACAATATTTTCTTTTAAATTGTAATATATTTTTAGGAGATAATAATAATTTGCCAATAAAAATTCCACTAATTAACCCATAGGTGGGGTTAGATGTGAATAGATTAATACCTTTCCCAAGCGTATTTGCGCGTAAGTGAATATAACGAACCCGATTGGAATTGGAACCCGGCTTCTCGATTTCCAATTCCGTGCCGTTATCCATGACACCACCCACACATCCAAATTACAGCACTTGGTATTCACCCATCTAGGTAATGACCAGGCTCGACGTTGCTTAACTGTCAGTGAGTAGTTCACTACCGACTGTTCGGTTGTACTCTCTTCCTACGGACGAGAGGAACCCGAAGGAGGCTGCGCCGAAGGGCGGAGTCTCCTTCGGGGAGGTAAAACCGGCCCTGAACCCGTTTTTACGGGTTCAATGGGCTATTTTTTGGCCGAGCCTAATGGCTCGGAAATGCCCACGTTAAAAAGGCCTTGTGCCACATGACACCCTCGTGGGGGGTGACTGAATATTGTCAATACTTTAATATTAATTTATTATTAATTTACTGAGGTTTCTTTAGTATTTACTTAACATATACTGCCTTTCGTAAACGTTTCCTTCCTCCGCTTTACATAAAAAAGAAAACTAAAGGGTGTTCCAATAACTTGGACCGATTTTAATGTGAATTAAGTTTCAACGTCTAATGATTTTTTGTCTTTTTCTTTCAGATTTGGCGGACATTTGGGCGATATTATTTTTCACACATAATTTCTCTGACTTGAATAACATGATCCAATAGAGAAATAAATAAATTTTCACCAATAACACTGAATTATTAACTTTGATCCGTCTTAATGAAACACCCTTATATATAATCCGTCTCAATAAATCACCTTTTATATTATTCAACCGAAAATTTAGCACATGGTTTCATTGAATCTCCATTCAATAAAAATATGCCAACATTTTTATTTTTTAACTGAATATTCACCCAATAAAAGGCGTGAGAGTCACTCAATATAGAGGGATACTGAATGAGGTGTATTATATGAATATAAGAGGAATGGGTAGGAAGTGAAAATTATGAGGATTTGGAGGATAGATTGCAATTGGCCCTTAAGTTAAAGTGGAAAAGATTGTAGTGTTCAGTGAAGGCACTCACGCGGCAGTCTGTTCGACAAAGTAAAAGTTCTTGGGGGAAAAAATCTCTCTGAGTGGAACGTCCTTCCTTCAATTGAAATATGGGAGAAATGATGATGATCCGACTCCGTGGAAGTAACACTGCGCGTCCGTGCTGTAAACGTCTGAACTGGTGAAACTAAAGAATGGGGTTCATCTGAAGACTCACCATGGAAATTGCGATAGAATGACTTGCGACGCCGCGTCTGTCGAGAAGGAAGCTGCAAAGTGGAATATAACTTAAGTCCCCCCATAAGACCGCGTAAACTATTTTGAAACCTATCAATGTTGGAAAGTGGGGATTGGGAAACTCCTGCCTAGGTTTCACAGCAAAATTCCATTTTTGGTCTAATCCAGCGCTTCTTAAAGTATGGGTGGCGACCGCAAATGAGGCCGCAAAGCGAAATGCTGCGGTAATAAAAAAAAAAGGCATGCGACGCCGTTGCGACGCGTGCAATGACCCGGATGTATTTTCAGTGTAGTTGGTTAATACCTTGGGTCGACAAAAATCTTGTCATGAAATATGAGGTCATGAATGAAAAAAAAAAAGTTTAAGAAACGCTGGTCTAATCTGAAGATAAAATTATGGCAGTCAGATACTTTCTGGA